TGAGTCATTGGATAAACAAGTAAAGTCTTATTTCAACTGATCATGAATAAGACAGTTACATGGTCCCATTCAATATGTTCAAAACACATCATTGTTCTTATTTCTGGATCTGGACATTCTAATAAGCACAATACAACATTATCAAGATAAAACGTTCAACTCTATTTACCATTTGAAATCATGAATTTCACTCACATTGTAGATTGTATCTCTTCATACTCAACCTATCAAGTGTCCAATTGATAACATCTTGTATGATCACGAAAATCTAGATTAATTATTCAAATCAAATGTAAGACAAAAGACAAAACTAAATTAATATTTATAAAGTCATTTACGAAAATAATATCTCAAGGCACTAAACTAACAACATGTAGTCTAGTTTATTAAATTATAAATTATAAATATATTATTTATATTTTAATGTTTGAGCAATTTCTAATGTTCAACGGCAACATTGGTACGAATCATCTTACAATTAGAACAAATTATGGATCAATTCAAGCACGATAATATAGTTTAATGAAAATTTCAGTTCAAAACCTTATTGTACAAGAAATACTACTTGTTAATTAAGCAACTTAAAAAAATAATGCTTTTTGATTTATTTATTTATTTTTTGGCATATTTACAAATAAATGATCTTACATCATATTATCAATTATTATTGTCTATCTCGATACATATCGTGATTATAATTGTTTTAAATACATAATTTGCAACAACTAAAGAAAACAATTATTATTCATCATGCGTTATAATAAAAATCATTGCATGACACTTTCGCATGCAACAAGCATTAAAGTCTTTATGTTCTCCACAATGTCATTCAATATTAATTATGTTTATTATCAAAGAAGACATATTTCTTTCTTTTTTATTATGTATAGATATAGAAAGGCAAATTGAACCATTCACCCCCAACCTTTGAGGAAAGCAGGTGGACCTCTCCCAATTATTTTCTTGTTCAAGTTTTTGACCCAGACCTTTGAGAAATTAGCGAACTCCATTCTTACTGATGTTTGCGTTCAATATTGTTTTTCCAAATGTGTGTCAAATGACAATCATAGCCTTTAAATTAAATAAACAAAAAGAAAATATAAGAACTAAAAAAAAAGAAAAGAATAAACAAAAAATAAGCAAAAGACACAAAGGGGGGGGGGTGAGGAAGAAAGTAACCCCAGCACCTCCATTTCCCCTATCAATAACCAGGGAATTTTTTTCAGGAATTTCCAATTGTCGAGAGCTACGAAACCAATGGTTTTCCTATGATTTTTGCGGGTAAAACCTATCGATGGTTTGTGATCGAGGGTTTTCTTTGGTTTTCATCCCCTATGGCAACAACAAAAATCTCGTGAATTGAATAATTCATCCTTAATCTTTTATTTATTAATTTTTTGTTTTGCTTTGTTTTATTTTTGTTTATTTAAGTAAAAGGGTAAGATAGTTATTTTATATTAATCTAAAGGGATAATTGCAGTTGAGACCCAAGCCTTTCAAAAGGTTTTAGACTTTCTTTGAACCTTTCATTTGTTGTAGTCGTCATTCCAAACCTTTCAAAACATTGCGAATGAAGCCCTAATGGATGGATTCCATCCATATTTCTGCTAGTTGACAAAAAAATTGAGTTTGAACATTTTTTAAGATAATTTTAAAAGGGTAAAATAATAATATTATATTTATTGCATTAAACAATTAAATTAATTACAATAAAATAAATAAATAAAAGGAAATAAATATAATATTTACTCCCACACCCCAACATCAAAATCAAAATCATGGATGCCACCACACAACACCTGAGACCACCACCACCTTCAAACAATGGCCACCGCGTCATCGAAAACCCACCCAAGCATGAATTTTTTGATTAAGATTTAGAATAATGTATACAACTGCTTTATTTGCCAAGACTCATGTGATTATTTTTCTTTGTTCTTCTTTATTTTGTAATTTCAATTGTAACCATTAATTAGTTGCCTTTTATTAGTGGGCATCTGTGCATACCATCTTTTATTGGGCATCTACATCATATCATTTGAAAATGGAATTCAAACCATGGTCCGCATACCATGGCTCTATGCCTTTTTAGCTCTTTTACAATTCTGGAACCCAAGTTGATCGTTTCCAACTTCAACCGAACTATAGAGCTTGTACTAAAGGCCTTGCTTGGAATAATTTCTTTAACAATCAAACCATGAATTTCTTTAATGGCCGTGGCCCCTTGGAAAAAGCCATATCCCCATGTTAAAAAGATGCGTTCTATACTGTTTTCAAGTATGTGATGAAGCCTTCAATAGCTCATGTCAAGATGCAGAAAGTAATGAAAATGAAACAATAAACTCATCCATTATTTATTTATCTTGGTGAGGCGATGGTGGCGGTTTGAGAGTGGTGGTGGTGCGGGGCGATGTGGTGGACTAGTAGTGTTTGTGATTTATTTTTTTCTAAATTTGAGGTTTTTCCCTCAGGGGATTAGTTTTTAGCTCCCTTCAATGGAGGCAGAGGTGGTGATGGATGTGATGGTGGTGACCATGGCTATGGTTATGGTGGTGGTGGTCGATCTTGGATGAGGTGGTGGTGACGTTGGATTCTGGTTTTGGGTTGAGGGAGTTGGGGATGATGAGGGTGAGGAGAAGAAGATTTTTTTTCCTTTAGTAGTGTTTGTGATTTATTTTTTTCTAAATTTGAGGTTTTTCCCTCAGGGGATTAGTTTTTAGCTCCCTTCAATGGAGGCAGAGGTGGTGATGGATGTGATGGTGGTGACCATGGCTATGGTTATGGTGGTGGTGGTCGATTTTGGATGAGGTGGTGGTGACGTTGGATTTCTGGTTTTGGGTTGAGGGAGTTGGGGATGATGAGGGTGAGGAGAAGAAGATTTTTTTTCCTTTTTTTATTTTATTTTTTCTTCTTCATCTTCTTTTATTTTTGATTTTGATTTAAGTTTTTTACTTATTTATGTGAAAAAATATAAAGCTATTATTTTGTCATTTTATAATTGATTAAAATGTGGTTAAAGCCCAATTTTTTTGGTCGACTAATAGAAATATGGGCAATCCATCATTTTGGTTTTATTTGCAACATTTTAAAAAATTTGGGATGACGACTACAACAAATGAGAGGTTAAAGAAAACTCTGTAACCTTTTGAAAGGTTTATGGTTTCAACTATAATTATCCCTAATTTAAAAGACTTTTGTAACCTTTTGAAAGATTTGTGGTCTCAACTGCAATTATCCCTAATTTAAAAGACTTTTGGACATAAATTCGTATGTAGTGACTAAGTACACTAAGGGTCTGTTTGATTGTAATGATGAAATTTGGGTGAGAAAAAACGAATTATAGGGAATTGAATTGTCTAGAATTTATTTTATTGAGAATTGTCAATTAAATGTGTTTGATTGGTATACTTTTCTATCCGATAAATGTGAAAATTTTATATCTTTTGATATTTGTTTGATTTTGTTTTTCATGAAAATTATTTACTAAAGAGATATAATTAGTTACAATTGTGTATAAAATTTGTTTTTATTGCCAAAATTTTTTAAGTACACTAAGGGTCTGTTTGATTGTAATGATGAAATTTGGGTGAGAAAAAACGAATTATAGGGAATTGAATTGTCTAGAATTTGTTTTATTGAGAATTGTCAATTAAATGTGTTTGATTGATATACTTTTCTATCCGATAAATGTGAAAATTTTATATCTTTTGATATTTGTTTGATTTTGTTTTTCATGAAAATTATTTACTAAAGAGATATAATTTGTTACAATTGTGTATAAAATTTGTTTTTATTGCCAAAATTTTTTTAAAAATAAAATAAAAAACAAGTTGAAAATTACTTTCCCACCAAACCCAAAGGAAAACAATTTCCTTAAAAACCAAGAAAGAGGGTCACGTGGCCCCCTTATGACACATTCCAATTGTCAAAGATGAGGGCGTTTGAAGGCTGGCAGACCAGAGGTCGTGAGTTCGATTCCTGAAAGGCTTTTGGAAGGTAAATATTCTCCTGGAAGGCTTTTGGAAGGCAAATATTCTCCTGGAAGGCAGGATTTATCTTGAAAGGCAAGAGCTCTACTGGAAGGCAATGTGCAAAGATGTGGAAAGACTTGCTTGACACTTTGGCAGATCAGTTGGGGGGTTTTGAGCACTAGCCAGTTTGGGGCACAACCCTTAAAAACCAAGAAAGAGGGTCACGTGGCCCCCTTATGACACATTCCAATTGTCAAAGATGAGGGCGTTTGAAGGCTGGCAGATCAGAGGTCGTGAGTTCGATTCCTGAAGGGTTTTTGGAAGGCAAATATTCTCCTGGAAGGCAGGATTTATCTTGGAAGGCAGGAGCTCTACTGGAAGGCAATGTGCAAAGATGTGGAAACGACTTGCTTGACACTTTGGCAGATCAGTTGGGGGGTTTTGAGCACTAGCCAGTTTGGGGCACAACTTGCAGTTTAACCTGTCTGCAGCTTGAGGGGCCAAGGTGTAGACTCCAGAATTTAGTCAATGTAAAGTGGATACCTGGACATCATAAAAAGAAAAAAAGAAAAAAAAGAAAAAGGGTCACGTGGGGGCAAGGTGAAAACCAAATTCCATGGAAAATGTTGTCCATCAAACAAGACAAAATGGATGGAAAATGAAATTTGAATTCCAATTTCCATAGAACTGGCTTGTATCAAACAGGCCATAATTTCTTAGATGTTGGGGATTGGCCCCCATTTTGTGAAAATGAAAGTGGATGGAATAATATTTTTTGAAAAATGAGTGGTTAAAAAAGAAGGATAAATTTTCGATTTACGTGTAATATTATTTTATGAAAGATTGTGTGACTAAAAATAAAAGAAAGAAAAATAAAATATGATGAAATTGAAATTAACGAAGGTCAAAATGGGGCAAAGCTTGGACAAATTTAGGATAGGTCCGTCGCTTTGCTCGAGAGTTGAAGACGAATCTTGCAATTTATAGAATTATGAATTTTAAGTATGAAAGATTAAAATTTCAATAAACCCTTCTATCCGTCTCTCTGCTGCTTCATCCTTTTTGACTATTTTTTTTCTTGATCATTGTCGGACAGTAAATCCCACCTTTTAAAGACACCGAAAAGAAGAGACAGTACACGACATTACCTCACCTACTCGAGATCTTCTGCTCCAAGTTCCAAAATTCAGTAATCTCCAATCTCTGGTCCTCCAAAAATCACCATCTTTCATTGAACTGTTTCAGTTCTGAATCTTCTGATACATATGGGTATGCCTGCTATCCATTTGAACATTAATACTTCTGTTAATTCATTTTATCGAAAAAACCTCTTATTTAATGATTTCTTTGTTATCTATGAGAAATGATTGACTAGGGCTGAGTAAATTTATTTTTTTATATTGCGTATTTGCTTGTATTTTTATTGTCATACGGGCTACTACGTACATTTCCTGTATTTTGGTTCTTAAGTGCTTTGCATTATTGGTAACTATTTATGTTTAAGCAGTGGTTTGCGCTTTGAAATTGGGTACATTGGGATTGATTCTGGGATTTGGGTTTTATTGGGTTGGATTTTGATACTAGTGTGATTGAATTTGAATTTGATATGATGGCGTAATTACTGTTTTCTTGGCTCTTATCTTCTGGTTTTAACTGGATTGGAGCTCATGCATGTTGTTTGCTAAGAGACTTCAAGACTTGGTTGCTAAGAGTCTTGTAAATGAACTTGTTTTTTATTATATTGGAACCTGACAAATTGGTGGAGAAGAATTGACAATGAATCGTGTTTTTACTTAATTCAACTAATCTTATTTCTTTACTTTATTCAGTTAGGGCTAGTTCCTTAATTATTTTTAAAAATTTAAATTGAATAAATCATTTCAATCCAATTTATTCACTATTCTCCATGTGTTTTGATAGTGTCAAAACACTTTTACTGAGAACCATTGAAACTTTCCTTATTTTTCGATTATATAATGGATTTGACGAGCTCGAAGAGTTATCTTCTTTTCTTTTCCATTGCTGGGTTGAAACAGTTTATTCACTACTGTTTGAAAAATAACTTAAGAGACTAGCCTTAACTGGATATAATATTTGCAGAAGCCCAGTCGAGCAAATGCCATTCTATTTTCAAATTTTCTCCACCGTTATTTGGGTGTCAAGATAAAAAAAATTCTTATTCTACTAGGTAATCAGAAGCAATTTTTTGATTCTCCCACCGTGAGACGTTTCCTTTATTCTTGTTATGACTGGTTGTTGAGCATACTCTAGTGTGCTATAGCAAACTCAGATGCCCACAACGCATTTAATTGGTTTCTGAAGTTAAGATTCTGTTCTAATAACACTACAGTTCTTGCTAATACAATTGCTGTACATTTATTTATCCAGATAAAAGCGACAGTTGTTGTTCAACTCACCTTATAGATGGGGACGGAAATTTCAATGTTGCTGGACTGGATAAGTTCATGAAGGAAGTTAAACTTGCAGAATGCGGGCTTTCTTATGCCGTAGTTTCCATCATGGGTCCTCAGAGTAGTGGTATGAACTTTTAGTAGTAAAGATATTTCTTTATCTCTTTTCTTCATCAGTTCAGAATATGTCAATTTTGGGAGGCTTTATTAGGAATTTATGAATTTTTACACTGCTAAGATCCTTTTTTACATCTAGTACAGTTCAAAGATTCCTGTCCACTTACAGGTTGTCATAATAATCTTGCTTTTTTTTGTCTTCTCACTTTAAACTGATATAATTGCGTTACATGACATCGACAGGGAAGAGTACATTGTTAAATCACCTGTTTGGTACTAATTTTAGGGAGATGGATACTTTTAAGGGGAGGTACGTTAATTAAAATCCCTTTTGTTACATCTCTTGTTTGTTTTTCGATAAAACTAAAACAGTACCTGAATTCCATCAGGTCTCAAACCACTAAAGGTATTTGGTTGGCGCAATGTGTTGGCATTGAACCTTGCACTCTTGTAATGGATTTAGAGGGCACCGATGGAAGAGAACGAGGAGAGGTACAAACGAAGCAACTTTTACTTGACACTTCATTTTTTATTGTAATTTGCTTATTATGGTTATTATCACTATAATATATGTTTAAAGACTCGTTATTCTAAAACTGCTAGTATACTTATGGTGCTTATTTTCTCCAGCCATCTATGCTATGTTTTGTTTCGTTTCTGCACAGTTTTCATTCCAAATAGCTAAGAGATTTTGGAAACGTACATTTTCTATCTTTCTTGCCATAAAGACTTACCGATTATGGACGTTGTTTTTCGAGCTGCTGATACCGCCATACCAACATTTGGGAGCTTATTGAATAATATGAATTTGTACTATATTGCCCTCTCTTGTTACGACCTTTGATAACATGATTTTGTACTGTATGCTTATTCTCTTGCCATGATCTTTTATGGTGCAAATATGACGAGATTATGTTTCTGGGATCAAATGGAGTTTCCTCTACATATATTGCCTGGGCTTTCTTATTGTACGTCTTAGTTTCCTTAGAAATTCCAGCCTGTCTAAGAATGCATATTAGTTCTTTAAATATTCTTTTGTTTATTCAATTATGTTATTTTATATCAAGGGATCTGGAGAAGTAGACAAATATGCTGTTAGTAGAACCTTGTTCTTTTCTAATCTTTTTGCTCCTTTTCAGGATGATACTGCATTTGAAAAGCAGAGTGCCTTGTTTGCCCTAGCTGTATCAGATATAGTGCTAATAAACATGTAAGATTGTTGCATTGCATTAAAAATGGTTTGGATATCATTTAACACTTAAATTGAGTTATTTGGGATAGTTATAGCAGATATAGGGTGGAACCACATCACACGATTGTATGTTTGAAGGAGTGATTGTTATAGGTATTTAGGTGTGATTATTGTAAGGATTTGAAAAGAACGTGACTCATCGTATTAGTGTTGGTTGAATGGAAATGCATATTATATGATTGGCTGTGATCCATGAGATTATTGTTTATTTGAGATTGTCAAGCTATTTATATTCCTTGGAAAATATTTTAGGTGGTGTCATGACATTGGCCGTGAGCAGGCTGCAAATAAGCCTCTTTTAAAAACTGTATTCCAGGTAACTCTTGCACCTGTTCTCTTCCAGCATATAATTCGGATGCAATGCTTTACTTATTTATAATTATGATGAACAGGTCATGATGAGATTATTTAGTCCACGCAAAACAACTTTGATGTTTGTTATACGTGATAAAACAAGGGTATGCTCAACCCATTCCTTTCTCAGTTGATGTTTCCTTTAAATGTACTTCGGAAATTTAAAATTTTTAGGGTTATATGGTTCCATGAATTAAGAATATGTTATGCTGGAGCATTTTGTTTTTTCTTGACATGTTATAGACGCCTTTGGAAAACCTGGAACCTGTTTTAAGAGAAGACATTCAGAAGGTACATCATATGTGATATTTTACCGTATTATGAACGAGTCCAACTGTAGTTGGGTTCTGAGCTTCTCTCTCTCTCTCCCCCCTTCCTTCCTCTACCTCTACTTTTGAAGATATGGGATGCAGTTCCTAAGCCGAGTGCGCACAAGGAAACTCCATTAAGCGAATTCTTTAATGTAAGATGCCGATGTCTTGTTGATTTAGCTCTGTTAAGATATTTTTGGTTATGTTTGAAAGGTGCTTTTTGAGCTATAGCTATTTTCAAAAAAAGTGCTTTAAGCACCTTCTAAGCTTAGCTAAACATTCTCTAAGTTTGTGTTCTGTTCTACCTGATATTTATCTAATGGATGAATTGCAGGTTAAAGTTACTGCTCTTTCTAGTTATGAAGAGAGGGAAGAACAATTCAAAGAGCAGGTTAATTCCATGTTTGAATACTTTAAAGTGATTTTTATGTTTGTTCATGTGAATGCTTTGGCTTCTTTCTTTGCCATTTGTACCTTTTGTGAACTGTTTTTTAGAATGTTGCTCCTGCGATTGTTAGGGATCTAAGATTTTGTTACCGGCTTTTTTTAATGAAGGTAGCGATCCTAAGACAGAGGTTCTTTCATTCTATTGCACCTGGTGGGCTTGCGGGGGATAGGCGAGCTGTAGTTCCTGCTTCTGGCTTTTCATTTAGCGCGCAAGAAATTTGGAAGATCATCAAGGAGAACAAGGACCTTGACCTGCCTGCTCACAAAGTCATCATCTGAACATCTACCCTGATGTCATAATAAACTGTTTAGACAGTTCATCACTGATGCATTTGCTTATCTATTGCAGGTCATGGTTGCCACTGTACGTTGTGAAGAGATCACGAATGAGAAGTTTTCTTCTTTTATTGCAAATGAGGTACCTTTTCTTATTTTAAAGTTTTGTTTGATTTGTAATATTGTATGTATTACATCTGCACATGCAATCCAAACATCATAAAACATCAAATTTAATTTGATTACATTATATAGGAATGGCATCAGCTGGAAGATGCTGTACAATCTCGACTGATGCCAAGCTTTGGGAGGAAGCTCAGCTCAATTCTTGATGTCTGTCTAACGGAGTAAGTTGATAATTGCCCGCACTTATGTTCTACTTGAAGCTCTGTGACAATTATTTTTTAACGTAGTATTGCCCATATATGTTTTGGGACCCTGAGAGCATTACAATTTGCCAAAGAGCTTATTATTACTTCGAATCTTCCAAACTTCTGCGAGCATGAAATTGTTAGACTCTGCTGCAGTTAAGTAGAGACTAGATCTTCAAAACACTGCCAAAATATTTCCTTTGATCAGCGTGCTCCTACTTGGGAAGTCAATATCTCCAGTTACAGACTACTTCTGATCGTTCACTGTGGTAGATTTACCTGGACTTTATGGTTGATAATTAATGGTGTGAGTGGATTTGAAGGACAATGTGTCTGAGCTGGTCAGTTTGGCAAATCACTAGAAAACTAGGCTGGAGGAGGGCTGAAGCATATATAATTCTCAACTAAAATTTAAGTGAATTTTGGTTTGTTTTAAATTAGGATACATGAAATTACAAGTGAAATTCTTTATAATAGGTGGAAGTTTGTATATTTTTCGCATACTGTCTAGATAGCTATGATGCCGTCTTTGTAAGTAAGCATGGCCCTGTTTATTGATCAAAATTTTCGTTGACATTGAAGATTTTGGCAAACTGATTTTATAGCAGGATATTCCATTTGCTGCATCTTAATAATGTAGTATAGCTTTAAGTGTACGCACTCTTTCAAGGGTAGCTGCTTCTACTTTTTTGAGATGTTCTCATACATATGTTTCATCTTTCTAAACTAGATATGATGTAGAGACGACCTATTTTGATGAAGGTGTTCGATCTTCAAAGCGGAAACAGTTAGAAGAGAAATTGCTGCAAGTAATGCTTCTTTAATTCACCCTTGAAGTTGTACACGTATGGAAAAAGATGCGTATCTTTATTTTATATAAAAATGTAGATAGAGTAATGGCAAATACATCCTGAACTAAAAATTTATCAGTTCTCTCTCATTGGAGATTCATGTTTTTTTCAATATCTAATCTTCCTTTGGCTTTCATTCTTGACACGATATTATATTTCACTCAGATTCTGTGTGTAGACCAGACAGAAACCACGAGTAAATAATGAGTGCTAGTTTTAACCATTGTTTAACATCTAGAATGAGCAAACTTCCTGATGGAATGGTGAATCTGATAAGTGCATTTTGCTGTCACATGTGCCTGATGACGTTTTTGGTCTTTTCTAAGTTTTGACTTTGTTTTTGATAGCATAAACCCACCACACTTTTCTCTATATGTATCCACCTACCTCTATCTGTGAGAGAACACTTCTTTCAGCTTTCAGGACCCAAAGGTGAAGCATCAAATAAGTTCTATGCACTGATATTGAGAAATGAACATTTTGATGTGGTTGCCGGTAGCCTTGAGCATGGTTCGGTTCTAAAGAGAAACGAATTGACCTAGGATTTTTGGGTATTTAGTAAATGGAACCGTCGGGTCCAAATTTAATTGTGAAATTGAAATGGTTTGGTTCGATTTCGTACCATAATTACATTTTTTAACATTTACAACAACATTACATTAATTAACCAATGACATGTTCAATCTTGACTCTTACAAAATTAGATAGTCCAATTAGAAATATACAAATAAAAATTTGTCTGATAAGATCCATTTACTAATGTATATAAATTATCGAAAAGTAAATAATAACGCTAAAACATCACTGATCTTGAGGAACAAAGATGAAGTCGTGACTTGTGAGAGGGAAGCAGCTGAAAATGAGAGTAATAGCTTAACTTAAATGGCAGAATGAGGGAATGTTAGGTGAACTGTGAAGTGAAATTGGGCTTAATTGAAATTGTAGGAAAAATATTTTGGGTTCAAGTTGGGCTTGGTCCTTGAAGCCTTGGGCACTTATTAGTCACTTAATTAGTTAATTGGAAAATTTACTTAGAAAAATTAAAATAATTTGGCTTATTCAATATAAAAAATTAAAAAAAATAGAGTGATTCGGTTATTCGATTCTTAGTTTAAAATAAAAAACCGAACCATCTAGAACCAAACTAAGCTTGTCGGTTCTCAATTCTAACAACTATTCGGGCATTTAACCTAAGAAGAACCAAACCTAATGGAACCTCTTGGTTCGATTAGGTTTGGGCCCATCTTAGTTCGGGAGTTTTGTTCGGCCCTAATTGCTGGTTCACATAAGAAATAACACACAAAAAAAAAAAAAAAAAAAAAAAAAAAAAAAAAAAAAAAAAAAAAAAAATACAAAGAGGGGGGGGGGGGGGTGAGGAAGAAAGTAACCCCAGCACCTCCATTTCCCCTGTCAATAACCAGGGAATTTTTTTCAGGAATTTCCAATTGTCGAGAGCTACGAAACCAATGGTTTTCCTATGATTTTTGCGGGTAAAACCTATCGATGGTTTGTGATCGAGGGTTTTCTTTGGTTTTCATCCCCTATGGCAACAACAAAAATCTCGTGAATTGAATAATTCATCCTTAATCTTTTATTTATTAATTTTTTGTTTTGCTTTGTTTTATTTTTGTTTATTTAAGTAAAAGGGTAAGATAGTTATTTTATATTAATCTAAAGGGATAATTGCAGTTGAGACCCAAGCCTTTCAAAAGGTTTTAGACTTTCTTTGAACCTTTCATTTGTTGTAGTCGTCATTCCAAACCTTTCAAAACATTGCGAATGAAGCCCTAATGGATGGATTCCATCCATATTTCTGCTAGTTAACAAAAAAATTGAGTTTGAACATTTTTTAAGATAATTTTAAAAGGGTAAAATAATAATATTATATTTATTACATTAAACAATTAAATTAATTACAATAAAATAAATAAATAAAAGGAAATAAATATAATATTTACTCCCACACCCCAACATCAAAATCAAAATCATGGATGCCACCACACAACACCTGAGACCACCACCACCTTCAAACAATGGCCACCGCGTCATCGAAAACCCACCCAAGCATGAATTTTTTGATTAAGATTTAGAATAATGTATACAACTGCTTTATTTGCCAAGACTCATGTGATTATTTTTCTTTGTTCTTCTTTATTTTGTAATTTCAATTGTAACCATTAATTAGTTGCCTTTTATTAGTGGGCATCTGTGCATACCATCTTTTATTGGGCATCTACATCATATCATTTGAAAATGGAATTCAAACCATGGTCCGCATACCATGGCTCTATGCCTTTTTAGCTCTTTTACAATTTTGGAACCCAAGTTGATCGTTTCCAACTTCAACCGAACTATAGAGCTTGTACTAAAGGCCTTGCTTGGAATAATTTCTTTAACAATCAAACCATGAATTTCTTTAATGGCCGTGGCCCCTTGGAAAAAGCCATATCCCCATGTTAAAAAGATGCGTTCTATACTGTTTTCAAGTATGTGATGAAGCCTTCAATAGCTCATGTCAAGATGCAGAAAGTAATGAAAATGAAACAATAAACTCATCCATTATTTATTTATCTTGGTGAGGCGATGGTGGCGGTTTGAGAGTGGTGGTGGTGCGGGGCGATGTGGTGGACTAGTAGTGTTTGTGATTTATTTTTTTCTAAATTTGAGGTTTTTCCCTCAGGGGATTAGTTTTTAGCTCCCTTCAATGGAGGCAGAGGTGGTGATGGATGTGATGGTGGTGACCATGGCTATGGTTATGGTGGTGGTGGTCGATCTTGGATGAGGTGGTGGTGACGTTGGATTCTGGTTTTGGGTTGAGGGAGTTGGGGATGATGAGGGTGAGGAGAAGAAGATTTTTTTTCCTTATTTTATTTTATTTTTTCTTCTTCATCTTCTTTTATTTTTGATTTTGATTTAAGTTTTTTACTTATTTATGTGAAAAAATATAAAGCTATTATTTTGTCATTTTATAATTGATTAAAATGTGGTTAAAGCCCAATTTTTTTGGTCGACTAATAGAAATATGGGCAATCCATCATTTTGGTTTTATTTGCAACATTTTAAAAAATTTGGGATGACGACTACAACAAATGAGAGGTTAAAGAAAACTCTGTAACCTTTTGAAAGGTTTATGGTTTCAACTATAATTATCCCTAATTTAAAATACTTTTGTAACCTTTTGAAAGATTTGTGGTCTCAACTGCAATTATCCCTAATTTAAAAGACTTTTGGACATAAATTCGTATGTAGTGACTAAGTACACTAAGGGTCTGTTTGATTGTAATGATGAAATTTGGGTGAGAAAAAACGAATTATAGGGAATTGAATTGTCTAGAATTTGTTTTATTGAGAATTGTCAATTAAATGTGTTTGATTGATATACTTTTCTATCCGATAAATGTGAAAATTTTATATCTTTTGATATTTGTTTGATTTTGTTTTTCATGAAAATTATTTACTAAAGAGATATAATTTGTTACAATTGTGTATAAAATTTGTTTTTATTGCCAAAATTTTTTTAAAAATAAAATAAAAAACAAGTTGAAAATTACTTTCCCACCAAACCCAAAGGAAAACAATTTCCTTAAAAACCAAGAAAGAGGGTCACGTGGCCCCCTTATGACACATTCCAATTGTCAAAGATGAGGGCGTTTGAAGGCTGGCAGATCAGAGGTCGTGAGTTCGATTCCTGAAGGGTTTTTGGAAGGCAAATATTCTCCTGGAAGGCAGGATTTATCTTGGAAGGCAGGAGCTCTACTGGAAGGCAATGTGCAAAGATGTGGAAACGACTTGCTTGACACTTTGGCAGATCAGTTGGGGGGTTTTGAGCACTAGCCAGTTTGGGGCACAACTTGCAGTTTAACCTGTCTGCAGCTTGAGGGGCCAAGGTGTAGACTCCAGAATTTAGTCAATGTAAAGTGGATACCTGGACATCATAAAAAGAAAAAAAGAAAAAAAAGAAAAAGGGTCACGTGGGGGCAAGGTGAAAACCAAATTCCATGGAAAATGTTGTCCATCAAACAAGACAAAATGGATGGAAAATGAAATTTAAATTCCAATTTCCATAGAACTGGCTTGTATCAAACGGGCCATAATTTCTTAGATGTTGGGGATTGGCCCCCATTTTGTGAAAATGAAAGTGGATGGAATAATATTTTTTTAAAAATGAGTGGTTAAAAAAGAAGGATAAATTTTCGATTTACGTGTAATATTATTTTATGGAAGATTGTGTGACTAAAAATAAAAGAAATAAAAATAAAATATGATGAAATTGAAATTAATGAAGGTCAAAATGGGGCAAAGCTTGGACAAATTTAGGATAGGACCGTCGCTTTGCTCGAGAGTTGAAGACGAATCTTGCAATTTATAGAATTATGAATTTTAAGTATGAAAGATTAAAATTTCAATAAACCCTTCTATCCGTCTCTCTGCTGCTTCATCCTTTTTGACTATTTCTTTTCTTGATCATTGTCGGACAGTAAATCCCGCCTTTTAAAGACACCGAAAAGAAGAGACAGTACACGACATTACCTCACCTACTCGAGATCTTCTGCTCCAAGTTCCAAAATTCAGTAATCTCCAATCTCTGGTCCTCCAAAAATCGCCATCTTTCATTGAACTGTTTCAGTTCTGAATCTTCTGATACATATGGGTATGCCTGCTATCCATTTGAACATTAATACTTCTGTTAATTCATTTTATCGAAAAAACCTCTTATTTAATGATTTCTTTGTTATCTATGAGAAATGATTGACTAGGGCTGAGTAAATTTATTTTTTTATATTGCGTATTTGCTTGTATTTTTATTGTCATACGGGCTACTACGTACATTTCCTGTATTTTGGTTCTTAAGTGCTTTGCATTATTGGTAACTATTTATGTTTAAGCAGTGGTTTGCGCTTTGAAATTGGGTACATTGGGATTGATTCTGGGATTTGGGTTTTATTGGGTTGGATTTTGATACTAGTGTGATTGAATTTGAATTTGATATGATGGCGTAATTACTGTTTTCTTGGCTCTTATCTTCTGGTTTTAACTGGATTGGAGCTCATGCATGTTGTTTGCTAAGAGACTTCAAGACTTGGTTGCTAAGAGTCTTGTAAATGAACTTGTTTTTTATTATATTGGAACCTGACAAATTGGTGGAGAAGAATTGACAATGAATCGTGTTTTTACTTAATTCAACTAATCTTATTTCTTTACTTTATTCAGTTAGGGCTAGTTCCTTAATTATTTTTAAAAATTTAAATTGAATAAATCATTTCAATCCAATTTATTCACTATTCTCCATGTGTTTTGATAGTGTCAAAACACTTTTACTGAGAACCATTGAAACTTTCCTTATTTTTCGATTATATAATGGATTTGACGAGCTCGAAGAGTTATCTTCTTTTCTTTTCCATTGCTGGGTTGAAACAGTTTATTCACTACTGTTTGAAAAATAACTTAAGAGACTAGCCTTAACTGGATATAATATTTGCAGAAGCCCAGTCGAGCAAATGCCATTCTATTTTCAAATTTTCTCCACCGTTATTTGGGTGTCAAGATAAAAAAAATTCTTATTCTACTAGGTAATCAGAAGCAATTTTTTGATTCTCCCACCGTGAGACGTTTCCTTTATTCTTGTTATGACTGGTTGTTGAGCATACTCTAGTGTGCTATAGCAAACTCAGATGCCCACAACGCATTTAATTGGTTTCTGAAGTTAAGATTCTGTTCTAATAACACTACAGTTCTTGCTAATACAATTGCTGTACATTTATTTATCCAGATAAAAGCGACAGTTGTTGTTCAACTCACCTTATAGATGGGGACGGAAATTTCAATGTTGCTGGACTGGATAAGTTCATGAAGGAAGTTAAACTTGCAGAATGCGGGCTTTCTTATGCCGTAGTTTCCATCATGGGTCCTCAGAGTAGTGGTATGAACTTTTAGTAGTAAAGATATTTCTTTATCTCTTTTCTTCATCAGTTCAGAATATGTCAATTTTGGGAGGCTTTATTAGGAATTTATGAATTTTTACACTGCTAAGATCCTTTTTTACATCTAGTACAGTTCAAAGATTCCTGTCCACTTACAGGTTGTCATAATAATCTTGCTTTTTTTTGTCTTCTCACTTTAAACTGATATAATTGCGTTACATGACATCGACAGGGAAGAGTACATTGTTAAATCACCTGTTTGGTACTAATTTTAGGGAGATGGATACTTTTAAGGGGAGGTACGTTAATTAAAATCCCTTTTGTTACATCTCTTGTTTGTTTTTCGATAAAACTAAAACAGTACCT